GAGATTTATGCACAATTAGGGTTACTTCTGTGGGCTATCTAGTTGGTCAGAGGTAAGAGGTTTTCTTGTGGTTCTTTTTGCAGACGATTAGTTACATGGCAGAGCGTGTTGTGGGCACAGGATCATTTGGAATAGTTTTTCAGGTCTGTTGTCCTAATATAATATGAATGCTCATCATTTCTCCTCTGTCCTCTTAATTAATGAGTTTTAGTCACTCTTCACTAGGCAAAATGCTTGGAAACAGGAGAGGCAGTAGCCATAAAGAAGGTTTTGCAGGATAAGCGCTATAAAAATCGTGAACTGCAGTTAATGCGCTTGATGAATCATTCAAATGTGATATCTCTGAAGCACTGTTTCTTTTCTACAACAAGCCGGGATGAACTTTTCCTTAATCTGGTCATGGATTATGTCCCTGAGACCATGTACAACGTTTTAAAGCATTACAGCAGTTCAAATCAAAGGATGCCTCTCATATATGTCAAACTCTACACATATCAGGTTTCAATCAACATGTTCTGTTTTTTCCGGGTAACTTCTCTATGATTCTATTATATCTAATTCAGATATAATTATGCACATATTTTTCAGTTATTTAGGGGGCTTGCATATATCCATACAGTTCCCAGGGTATGCCATAGAGATATAAAACCTCAAAATGTTTTGGTAAGTTTCCTCAAGTCTCCTCTTTCCTGCTGGCAACCCAAGTCCCCCACCTGTCAGATTGTGTTGGACCATTTGCTACTTTATGTTGAAGTAATCGTATGTGTGGCCTGCAGGTTGATCCTCTTACCCACCAGGTCAAGATTTGTGACTTCGGAAGTGCTAAAGTTCTTGTAAGTTCATTGTCTTTCTAGTTAGTCACATAAATTCCCATAATCATTATGTTGAGGCATCTTTGAAGTGCTTCTATACATGTTTTGTGTGAATATTCATATGTGAATTATTGAATGTATATGGAGCCTAATATACTCTACACTTTTCCTGTTGGCAAAATTTTGAAGTGTTATACCGGTACTTTGGAAAATTCACAAATATATTAGGTTGCTTTTTCTTCCTATATTAAGGTATTAGGAGGAGCCTCCACACTGCGTATGGGGAGGGGGGGATGCGATTCCAAAATACGTTGTAATTATTTTATTTTATATAGTGCAACTTTGCACTGCACATGGTGTAGCAGTTCTGAAATTAAGGGTGAAACAAGTTAAATCGCGTGTTATTTTTGCTTTCGTTTTTCTTATTTAGTATTATTAATTGCTCTCTAAAATCAGATTATTTGTTTAATCCATACATGAATGACATCGTCATCAGATTTTATCTTATGGTACATTTCAAATACCAGCTGGAGAGGAATATAAAATTCTATCCAAGAAAACCAACAAAGAATGACCGTCTTATAAGAAACATTTTGCCAGGTTGTTTTAGAGTTTTCAGGGCTAAAAGAATTATAAATCATATGATCGTATAAACATTTCTTGTGTCGAAGACCAGGAAGACGAATAATCCCTTCTAGAATTATTTGCTCCCTGCTTACTTTGAATAAACAAAGAGAAGGTAGAATAATAGGGAAGATGTGTACAATGTTGGTTGGAGGAGAAGAAAAAAGGTGCTTGGAGAATTCCTATTATGTTTGGTTTATTACACCCATTATGCCTTAGACGGAATGCTCCCATTGTAATTAGAAGGGATGGTGTTGTATTCCATGGAGAGAGGTTTACTAATTGTTGAGTGTGTTAGTTTTAGGTGAACGTTTATTTCCATAGGCACTCCAAGGTTGTATTGATACTTCTATCTGCAGGAAAAGGCGGGGGCATAGCCCTATATTTTATTGTCTTCATTGTTATCTACAATTTGACATAAATATTGATTTTCATTATCATTGATTTATATGATTTTTAATATTAAAAACATAACTTATGGTTCAAGGATTTTTTTTTTAATTTTTATAATTCTCTATGAATTATCACTTGTGCATTTAAAATTTGTTATAATCAGGTGGAGGGTGAAGCTAATATATCCTATATATGCTCTCGTTATTATCGAGCCCCAGAACTCATATTTGGTGCAACAGAATATACAACAGCAATTGATATCTGGTCCGCTGGTTGCGTCCTCGCTGAGCTTCTATTGGGGCAGGTTTGGAACGTACATGTTAAGGCATCTTGCTGAGTAATATTTTAGTCTTCTATCACATTTTCCTTACTTTTTCACTATGTTCTTTTTGGTGGGGAGGCAGCCTCTTTTCCCTGGAGGAAATGCTGTCGATCAACTTGTAGAGATAATCAAGGTGAGCCCTTCTCTATATTGCATTTCTATGGAATCTAAATACTGGTGTTTTTGTTGTCCCTTTTACTAACTGCAAGACTTTCTCAAGTAGGTTCTTGGTACTCCAACTCGAGAAGAAATTCGATGTATGAATCCAAGTTATACCGATTTCAGGTTTCCCCAGATTAAAGCTCATCCATGGCACAAGGTATGACTGCAGTTATACATGCAATTTTCTCAGTGGTTTACACCAAAATATTCAGTTAAAAAGTAGATGATATTTTGGTGCAGGTTTTTCACAAGCGGATGCCTCCTGAAGCCATTGATCTTGCTTCTCGCTTGCTTCATTACTCTCCAAGTCTTCGCTGCACGGCTGTATGTTTAATTTGAAGTCACTCTTGTGAAGTTCTATTGAAAATCTGCCTTCACAAGCATATAGACTTGCTTTTTATCAATTTATGGAGATGTTTGAACTATCCTTCCCCCCCCCCACACCCACAGAAGAACGAAAAAAAAAGTTAAATGAACTGTTGACCATTTTATGTATTAATTAATTTTCTTTTACAATAATTGTTAATAAAATCTAAGGAATTGTTGTTCTGTCTCTGCAGCTAGAAGCATGTGCCCATCCTTTCTTTGATGAGCTTCGGGTGCCCAATGCCCGCCTCCCAAATGGCCGTCCTTTCCCCCCTCTCTTTGACTTTAAACAGGAAGTATGTTTTCAAACTATTCTCATTGACTTCTGTAATAATATTACTATTTTCCTGGCTCTTCCCAATATCGAGAAAATTTCTGATGGTCATTGCATTTCATTATGTAAGTGCCTAAAGTTACTGTATTCTGTCATATCAATAAAAGTGAGCAGGCATGCCCCAGCTTCCTTAAGATTTGTTGAGCGGCTTGAAAGTATTCACTCCATTTACTTTT